TTTTTTTTTTTTTTTTTGTTTTTTTTTTTTATTTTTTTTTTTGGTATATTAAAGCTAATCGGGATGATGATTAGAATGTCTCCCGTTTGATTATCATGAATTTTTGTGAAGTTCTTCCGTTATCGTTTTCAATCTGAAAATATATTGATTATTATAAAAATATATAGATTATTATGAATTATATCATGAATACTGAGATTTCAAATAACAATACTTTAAAAGTTCTGTTTGAATACGATCTGTAATCGCTTTCCTTGCTTCCTCTTCAGACACTTTTGACACACGCAATTCTTCTATTAATTCGCTAAAATCTATTGGATCACCGTAATTCATAGTGACCTTTTTGCGTATTTTCAATCTATATGGTGGTTCATTCGGTAAAACGTCATCCATGCCAAGATGATAGATTGGAACTACTAGCGGCGGAATAGGTGATTCATATATTAATCTTCCAATACCCCATTTTAATCTGAACACGATAAAACAGATCGAATTTTTATCGAAAAAAAATAAATAAACAAAAAAGAAAAGAAAAAAAAGGTTAAGAAAAAATAAATAAAATGAAATATGAAATAAATATAAAGAAAAAAAAAATCGCGAACCTCATGGTTTCTTTAAACATGTTTACTTTCCCCTCGGGGAAGACGTGAATCCATTCACCAGCGGCCAACTTTTCGATGCAGAAATCCATGGCTTCCTGATACACACCTCCACCTCTGATCACGGGAATGCATTTGCCCAGCATAAAGAAGTATGAATGCCAGGAGTTTGTGAAACAAATGTCGTGGGCCGCAAGCGACCATCTGATCTTACGTCGATCCATCAGATACCTCAGGTCCAGGCTCGCTAAATGAGTTCAGAGATTTTTCTGTCTTAAATTCTTTCATTCGATCGCTTATCGATGGTCATTCTGAGAAAGAAAAGATATGATTCAGGAAAAGGAGAATTCGTGTATATATGAAGGTATGCAAGCGTATGTGCATGTATATGTGTCTAAATAATCAATAATATTAATAATTTATTAGTAAATCAATAAAAAAAATCGAAAATGATTTAATAAACATGAATAATATATGAATATACTTATATAATATTTTATTATCACATTGATTATCGATTTAAAAATTACTATTTTATTAACAATACTAATAATTAATAAAACAATTTGTGTAAAAATAAATATTATAATATTCTTTTGTTTGTGCAAAGCCAAATATTTGTAAAATAATTTTTATAGCACTCACATATACTCCGCCATATTGTTCTTCGTATATACAACAAAGAAATATTTTATACATAAAGAAATCACTAGTACATATCATTCATATAAAAAAATGTCGATAAAAAAAGTATTCTCCAATCTACTAATAAAGTATATTCAGTATCAGTATTCAGTATTAACATACAATATCATTGGAATATCCTTTCATCGTTTCGATCATGCCTCATTAATCGATACATACAATAAAATGTTTGCTAACAAAACATAACAATGGAGATTGAAAGCTATATTGATGAAACAGTGTCGAGTGTTTAACTTAATGAATAACAGTCGATACGTAGTCCGATTGTTGAACCAATCTAAAAGAAACTTACCCCATATACCAGGATCATCGAAGCAACTGTGATGATTTGACACTGTGATTAACGGTACATTTTTCGGCCGTTCGTCTAACGCTCGATTGATGATATGTTTGTTGTACACTGTTGTTCTGTTCAGCCATTCTTAAACAGCACGAACGGAAAAGAAAATGCTCTTCGGTAAATTAATTCGTAAACCAGAAAAAAGACTACAGAATATTGCGTGTATTTCGTGAAATTCATTTTCATATACTTGACATAACACACACTTCATCTTTATTTATATAGAATTGGTTTTCTTTCTAAGTATACGTGCAATGAAAAATGAGATTTATATTTATCTAATGCTAAAATTTTAAAGTAAAGCTAAATTATTTATATTTGATTAATGAAATAATTATTAATTTAAAAAAAAATGATTATTAATCTTAAAGAAATATTAAAAGTTTGTTTTTATTGTGAAGTTATAAAAAATGATTACGCATAAGATTGCACGAAATAATTATACATCTCATAATATATAATCAGTATCATTATCTTAAATCAACTTCGATCGATTTTAAAATGAATAATAAAGATATTGATATAATGATTTATAAAACAATTATAAATATTTTATAAGATTTTAAAAATTATTTTAATTATTTTTATTATTTTTAAAATCTTATTTTACAATTTTTAAAATATTTTAAAAATAATTTTATATCTTTTTTAATTTATATTTCATAAAATAATTATTATAGTGATTTCTGTGATCATAAATATATAGTAAGATGTTGAAATTATATTTTATTGAAAACATACAAATCCAAAATTCAAATTATCATAATATTTTTGTAACTTAATAAATCTAACTAATTATAATAGTCTTTGATTAACATGAATATGACTTCTAAAGCAATTTTTATCTTTATAGATTTTTTGAATTATGAATTATTATTAATCAATCTTTCAAAAACTATTGTTTTGATTACTTAATTAAGAATTATAGAATGAAATATTATCTAATCAGAATCATAAATATCGCAATGGACAAAAGAAATATTGGTTATGTAAAATTTAATCATATATAATGTAAAGATAAAACTGAATTTGAAGGAATGAATAACGATTATTACACGCGAATAGATTGATAAAACGAACAAAAAGAGAGAAGTAAGAAAGAAAGAAAAGGATTGAATGGAGATGAAGAGATATACGGAGCGCTGAGTTCAACTAATTGAGTAATGCTTAATTTCCGAAGTTTATTGTATCGTAGCTAAGTCAACGTCAACATTAAGTCGGGTCTATTGTAAATCAGTGGTAGTCACTGAGAGACCAGCGAGGGCCAATGACTGATTTCCTGTGCCCTTTGTAGGGCGTTAATGCGTACCTGATATTTCCTGAAATTAGAAATACCAATCTCCCCAAAAACATAATAATAATAATACAGAATATACCTTGCATATTTGGGTAACATATGATTTGAAAGGATTAGCTATTAAAATCAAAATATAATTAATTGAGCATTTTTTAAAAGTCATGCATCATTATATGTATGTATATGCGAATATAAATTGATTTATAATCAATGAAAAAGTGCATATGCTTATAAAATGAATATCCGATAATATATCGCGTGATATTTATGATGACGTCATATGGAATGTCCAATTCTATCATAATGAAGTGTGTAGGAAATTAAATAATACATATATTTATCGCATTCTTTACTTATATTTGTTTGTTTCATATTGTTTTATTTTTATATAAATAACTTTTTCTTAATTATGTTCATATAAATTTTTTAAACATAAATAATAAAAAAGTATTAAAAGAATTTAAAGAATTGTATTGTAATGATATAAAAAAATTAAATAATATAATTTAGAATATGTAACAATCATCACATAATTGGTTTCTAATTTGTTTTAATCATATAGACTTAAAAATAATTTGAAAAAAATTACATTTTAATTAATCACATTACATTATATTACATTTTAATTGCATCTAGAATATATGATAAACAAATATATAAAAGATTTAATTATTATACGTTTTTTTATAATATATTGAACGAACATTATATTATATTATTATATAATTTTAATCCATTAAAAATTGTTTATATAATTATTTATAAAATAAATTATTTTTAATAATATTTAAATAAATTTATTTCTATTTTATAAGGAAACATTTACTTGCGCGTGTTATTACAATATATTAATATATATAAAATTTAACTATTACTCAACAATTCAAACAAATAATTATATAATAATTTAATTTAAATTTTCAAATAATTTTAAATAATATTATTATATTATTTATGTAATTTAAATTTAAAACAAATTTTTTAAGTTTATTTTATGATAATCATAGTGATTAAATAAAAAGAATTTATTAAGCACATGACATTATTGTATAAATATTTTTTGCATTATTTTATTATAATCTTTCATGTATTTAATTATAAAAAATGAACTTCTCAATCAAATAGAGTTGTAGAATAGTCACGTTTCCTTTTTCTATAAATCAGACATAAACTATAGAATATATATATATTGCGAGCTAATAAATAGTTAAATCTGTAATATATCAAGAATAATTTTTTAAATATAAATTCGAACTATCACTAATGATTGAGCATATCAATATTGAATAATATATAATATTAATTTAAATAATTGATTTGTGTAACTCACCTATAATGATTTTAGAGAAAATCCCTACTGCTACAAAGGTTATGCTACTCGCAATGTTCCAAAGACTGCTTGGATTTCGAAGCTTCGGTATGATCCATTTGATATCGTATACCATCGCACTACCGTCCGCTTGCTAGATCAAAGGAAAAAATAGCAATGCGGTACTTTTTCCGGACGACTGGGAAGTGCCTTCCCCACGAGAAATCGTCTACTCTTTCGTAACTCACAACAACCATCTTCGTACCAACTTCACGCCATATTTCTTGATGAGTGTCACGTGGTTGGTTGAACGTATCCGAACATATCCGAACATTACCGATTATTGAAACATTTAATTTAATATTAAAGATACTTCGAACTCACCTTATTTAATAATGTGCAAATGTATATCATTATTAAACTAATTTCAATTATTTATTTTTTATTAATTTATTATATATTTAATTATTCTTTTTTCTGCGATAATTTTATAACTATATATATGATTATAATTTAAATAAAAAATTCTTTTTTTTGTTAATAAATAATCTATATAAATCTACATAATACATATAAAATAAACATATAAAATAAAAATAATTTATGAATTATTATAAAATATATTTTTAAGAATAAAAAAATATAATTAAAATTTGTAGAATAATAGTTAATCGATATTTAATATTTAAAAATCAATAAATTAAATTACAAAAAGAAAGAAAAAAAAGAAAAATATTAATGAGAATCAAAAAATATTGTAATATAATATGCTATTCAATATAAAGGAAAATTTCAACGACATAAAAAGAAAATATTAATCTAAATAGATATAAATTCAATTTAGTCTAAATAAATTTATGAATATATTATCTTAATGGTTTTGTTAATATAACTCAAAAATTACTAATGATATATTATAATAATCATCGTATATTAATATAAGAATAAAATATTTGAAAAATCGTAAATAATTATTCATAAACATATATGCAATAAAGCATAGATATCACAAAGTAACCGGATGCTGCAGTTGAATTGTCAATTGAACATCTATTAAAAATTAATGAAGTAAAAAAGGATGTTAGAAAATTATGAAGAGGCAAAAGTTGGACAAGGAGATGTATACGATCGAGTACATACATTAGGAGCTTCAAGTTAAGTTCACGCACAGAGAAAGAAAGGACGATGCACAGGAGCATTGAGAAGGTGAAAAAGAAGGGAAAAGATACAATGATGCGAAGCAAAGTCGAAGGCCGCGGGGGAGGGATGAGAGGAGAATGTCCGGTGGCATGTGAAAAGTGGGGGTCTGACGCGGTAGAGAAGCAACCAGTCGAAGGGGTGCGGGAGTGGGGGAAAAGGGCCTCATCTCTACAGCCAGTCTAATTCGAGTCTTTCAACTGCGTGTTGCTGTGCTATCGTATATACAAGATTCTCTTCCAGTTTACAACTGTAAAGAGAATATCTTGAAGCACTATATTGAGGCAAATCGAAAATCAATTACAAAGTGTCTTCCTCGCCCTCGCAGAAAACGACGCGTGTTTTACGACAGAACACAGAAACGATCGAATTTGATCATTGGATAATATAAAAATGCGAACGTCAAAAATCGATTATTTCATTAGAATAAGGCTTTTTTATCTATCTTCATTCATTTCTGTAACCTTGAGATGACAGTTCTGATGATGAAGCTAACGTTACAGCCGACAATGCACTTATCTTACGGCAAGCTTTTCGATCGTTGAACCGCGGATACTGAAGATCCGCGAAGTGAAAATGTCCACTTTCTGTGAAATATGAGAAACTTGAAAGTGATACGATAGTAAAAAAAAAAGAGAGAAAAGAATAAAACAAAATATTCAGTAAGATTGAAAAAAAATAGAAAGAGAAAAGAGAGCGAGCCGAGCATTCGGCTTGACTCGAGTGCAGTGTACGGTGATGCCGCGAGGATGCCACCGTCGTCGATTCTCTCAACACGATATACGGCGCGGTGGTATCCCGTGATTTACCGGGGCCTCACGACTCAATGCCACGATATTACACTATTACTCGCGTGGTGTGGTGCAAGTGCAAGTGCAGGTGCAGCTGTGAAGTGGTGCCACTTCAATAACGAGAGTATATACGCGGGATATTATGTGACACGAGAAAGGATTCGCATTCGGTTATGCATCAAATCAAGAATCCTCGTATCTAATGATTCGCGAGTGACGCTTTCGAAGACAAATTGGTTAGTATTTGTGTGTTTGTGTATGTCTATCGCTTCATGTTATGTGGAAAATATTTTTTTTCCAAAGACAAGCAATAAACCTGGCATACGAATAACACTCGTGCGAAAAACGGTGAATTCGTATTACAAGTTCTCGCCAGAGTCGAGCTATACCGAGCATCGTAGTTTCAGCATCTTGGCTGTAGCAGAGAGAAAGCAACAGGTATGTGTATAGAGTATACGATCCGTATTCTCGGTAGTTGCACGTTATACGGTCGTGTTGCCTGTTCGTTCGCGCACAGACGTGCGCATGCTCTTGATCGAAGATCTCGCCGTGCACAAGGCAATATACAACACCAGGCATCGGTGACTGTGTGTGTCTTTCATCGCGGAAGAACTCCAGTTCAGTCCAGTAAGGCGAGGTCGTCTTCTTGCATTTGTATCTCTTATATGCAAGTTTTATATTTATCTCTTTGAATAAGATGATCGTGCGAAATAAATATTGTACACAATTCATATATAAGTTTTCTTCAGCGAATTTCATTCGTTTTCGGTAAAAAAAATTCATTTGATATAGTATCCAATTTATTTATTTCGATATCTTGTTCAAAATGTGAAATATAATCATCATTTCTCATACATATGCATACATATTATGTATATGTATTTTTTTATACGTATGCATAGTTCTATATATGTACATGATTCGTTAATAAGATGGTTTTGACACTAATTGAACATCATATTTCTGTCGGATAAATTTTATTAAATTGATTCACTTTGATCATTTTGCGACTTTCGGATTGTATTCGTTAAATAAAATTTATGTCCTCGTTCGCCTGTCTCTTTTCACATTTTGGAAACTATCGAATTCCTTATAATATTTGTAAAGTTAATAACAGATGAATTTATAAAATTCTTTGATTGAATAGTGCATCGATTTTTGTATACATTTTTGTTTTTATTAAGATTTCAATGAAAATGATCAATATTGATATTAAAATCCAATCAAAATTTTTCACATGAAATCATAGTGGACTATCTTTTCAGGGAATGTTAATTAGTCGTTTCACAAATTATAAAGGACCAGCAGTAGAGAACTCAACGATCAAGTTGCTATCCATTAACATACCTCAGTTCATCCTATTGATGTCGTTATACGCTAGCAATGCTTAACATTAACGATGCAAAAAGAAATTAATTACGGCAATCTGCAACCATTTCTATACATCATGAACTATATTGTAACCTATTTTCGTTATTTCGTACTTTCGACCAATTATAATTAATCATTATCATTTATTTGGTTTTGTGAATTCGGAATTGGTAATGTTCATTTATGAATTTCAACAATATTTTGAAATGGTTCTGGGCAAAATGACTTGTAATATTATATTCATAAAGTGATTATAATTGTATGAACGAAATAAACAAACACGACGTAAATTGGATTTTGGAAATGGTTCTGGCTTGAAAGCAATGAGCGGCCATGGAAATCTTTCTTTAAAAAAATATTCATAATTGAACATATATTTAATATATTATAAAATATGTTTGTTAAAAAATTACAACGTCGGCTCATTTACTTTTATCGAAAGTTTCTCTGGATAAAGTTTGCACTTGCATCGAGCAAAATTATATATTGTTTACGACTTCTTCGTATATAGTTTTATTAAAAATACATACATAAGTAGTTACAGTGATTAAATACTCATGCTTATTTCATTTATGGCCTATGAAATTTGATTTTTTGAAATTCTATCGTCAAAATCATACATAAATTATATAAATTATCGCTGAAGAAGAAATCTACTATTATTTTCTGTACTTACATTCTAGATTACAGTAAATAAGATTATAAATAAATAAGATTTATTAGTAGATAAATATAAAGATAAAATTATCGATTGTAATCGATTTTCTATTTATAATAAAATGATTAG